TCGGAAAAATGGTCAGAAAACTGTAGGAAATTTCCTACGAAATTGTCGGTCGGAAAATTTCATCGGAAAAATGTGGTCAGAATATTGTAGGGCATGTGCTACTATTTTCATTCCATTGTGTTTAGAAAAAATCGCACCTTTGTCCTACGAACAGTTTTCTATCATAGTGATATCATAATCTTACGAGCTAGATAAAACAGTTTTCATTCAATTAATTTCAAAATTGAATAAATTCAGGAGGAAGACAAATTGAAAAGAGAGGGGCAAAGAAAGTCTTCCTAAAGATGACTAACCGGAAATTATTTATAAATAAATATGGAACTCGCCTTCAGATTAACAAACCCAGTTTTAAAAATCATTATTAATCGAAACCCATTAAATTTACCTGGCCTTTCGCATGGAGCAGCTAACGAACTACTAATCTACAATACTCTCGATAAGAGCTTACTTACAAAACAGAGAGAGATTGCTTGATTTTTTTTTTGTTATGAAGCTTATATATTTCTCAGTGAAGAAGAAGACATAATTTGGTGTGTTTATATATAGAATTCTGGATTAGATTGATTTTGAAACCCAAGAGATTTCTTGAACACAGATCCAGGAGGTGGGGAATGTGATCTTGTGCGACGATCTCTCCATGAAACCCATTCTCTGAGAATCGTGAAAACAAAGAGACTGAGTCTCACGGAAGCACAAGATCGAACTTGATTTTTTTTTCTGTCAACCCAACCCGATAACCACTGGAGCTCCGACTTGAGCCCACTTCTCATTCACACCATTTGATCTTACTAAGCCCAAATAACTTTAAGTAAAAATTTGGTTCAACAGATATAACCCGAAACAAATATCTTTTTGAAAACCCGCTTATCTACTCGTGCAGCTGACTAACTCCACCGCCCATATATGTTATGAGGTGCGTCAGCCAGACGAGGCGGCTTTAGGTCTGTGATTTCTCTCTCCTGGTTAGGGATGTTCATATATCAAACCAAATCGAACCAAACCAATCTGAACCAAAATAGATCAATATGGTTGGATTTCAGATATAAATATAGTTTATAGAAATTTTAGGATTAGGTACCATATTTCAAAAAGAAATTTCATAATCTTAATGGATTTGTAATATCAACAGTGTCAAGATTCTTAGGGAGAAGAATGGTGTAACAATGGGTTTGTGAACATTGCTATAAGAGAGGGTTTGATTGAATTCTTTTTTTTAGATTACTGTTCCCTCTCAGTAAAAAGAGAGAGTTCTAAAGAAGTTAAAACTAAAAGATACAACCACTGAATCATGTTTATTGAAATTGTTTTCTAAGTTAGTCTGAAGTTCCGTAACATTAAACTGATATGTATAATGTTTTTTTTTTAAATTATGAATTGAGTGCATTTTAAAATTAATATCTATGAAAGAAAAAATGTTGTACGAAATCAAATAAATAGAATTTGAAAAGACTTAAGTATTAAAAAATATATATTTGATAAAATTAACGGTTATGTAAAAAGAAAGTACCAAAAAATTAAAACTAAAAAACACAATAGTAAAATCGTAGTTTTTGTTGTTGTTATTATTAATAAACTAGTACCTATAGCCATTTTTCTCATCTTTTAACCAAAATACTGTCTTATATCACAGTTTACTTTTGAGCTTTTAATTTGTATATCTTAGGGTAGGATAACCTAAAAATATTTTGCTCTCATTCAAACTTCATAGATTGTTTTATGTTTGCTTTTACATGTCTTTTCAGTTTGCATTTTGTATAAATTATTATATGAAAAAGCTAATGGGTTCTGATGTTTTCACTACAAGAAAACAATTGTTTTCCAACGGTCTGTTACGACGGTTTATAAATCGTCACAAATATACAACGATTTTACGACGATTTTACGAGAAAAAAACAAAACGTCGTAAAACCGTCGTAGAAAAAAATCGTCGTAACATCGACGTATAATTTACGACGCTTTATGACGATTATACATCAATAAAGAGAGATTTGATATTTATTGCAAAATCTTCGTAAATTGGATGTAACACTACAACGAATATACGACGATCCAAATCCGATGTACAGTTACGACGATTTTACGTTGACAAAGAAGGTATGTGAAGAACATTTAAAACATGTTTACCTAACTAATGTCGATGAAATATTTTATCACACAATCGACGTAAAATCGTCGTAATATGAAGGTTGGATGTAAAAGCGATGTAAAAAATCATCATAAAAGCGTCGTAAAGTCCAAATTTTTTTTTATAAATACATCTTCATTCCTTCTTTCATTCACAACACATCATCATTCAAACATAAGAGCATCAGCATCCTGGAGACCCATTTTAGGTCTCTTAAGCCTTAGTATAGTGTTGTAAATCCTGATATATTGGGTTGTCCATTGCTGGAAAACCGAATTAGTAGTAATTTCTTTGAAAAAAATAAGTAATAATATTAAAAGGTTTACTCCATTCACGCGGCTACACATGACACAAGAGTCCGTCTCTTTTATTGTCTAAACAATAGAAAGAGATAGTATTTTTGAGTTATTTTCAAGATGTCTATATACGAGCTAAGAAGCTGGATGTATATGCGTAAAGATTTAGATGGGGCGTTGACAGAAGAATTCAAGAACGGGTTAGAAATATTCATGTATCAGGCCACAAATACGGAGAAAACGAAAGATAGCGGGAAGATGTTTTGTCCTTGTTTGAAATGCAAGAAAACAAGGTATACACTAACCAAAACCGTGTGGACGCATTTATTAAATAGACGGTTTATGCCAAAATATTTTGTTTGGTATCTACATGGAGAAGGATATGGCAGTAATACTCATTGAATGCTGGTAGTACTAGTAATTATCAAAGTCATGTTGATTTTGATGAATCGAATTATCGTCATCAGCCTAATCAGTATCAACCTGATCAAGGTCTAGATCATGATAGGATGCATGAGATGGTGACTGATGCATTTCATGAAATGCGTACTGGTAATGCTGTTGAGGAACCTAATGTAGATGCCAAACGATTTTATGATTTGTTAGACAATGCTAATCAGCCAATCTACAAATGATGTAGAGAAGGTCTATCAAAATTATCGTTGGCAGCTAGGATGATGTCAATTAAAACAAATCTTAACCTGGCCGAGGTTTGCATGGATGATTGGGCTGATCTTCTGAAAGAGTATCTACCGGAGGATAACTTGGCAGCGGCAACATACTATGAAATACAGAAGTTGATTTTTAGTCTTGGTCTACCTTCAGAGATGATAGATGTATGTGTTGACAATTGTATGATTTTTTGGAAAGATGATGATCAGCTGGAAGAATGTCGATTTTGCCAAAAACCAAGATACAGGCCGCAAACTTGTGGGCGTAAAAGGATATTGTATCAACGTATGTGGTATCTCCCTGTAACTGATAGGTTGAAACGGCTTTATCATTATGAAAAGACAGCTGCATCAATGAGATGGCATGAAGAACATACACAAGTAGATGGAG